TTTGTTTATTTGTTCAATTTCTTATTTTTTGCTTATTTGTTTGATTATTTGTCTCATTATTTGTCTATACTTTTCTTTTTATTAAACGGATTTATGATCTATTGTTCTCTTTTGTGGTATGTTTATGTGTTTTCGTTTTTGTTTGTTAGTCAATTGTTCTGTCGTTTCTTTTTTGTTCTTTGTTTCTTATACCATAACAGAAAGAAATTCCTGAGTGGGTAAGATATTGACTTAAATGTCTTTTTATAAATTACGAATACGTTTTACGCAGCTATCAGGATGGTAGAACTCGAGTCATCGGCTTTTTAGCTGTTAAAACACTAAACAGTACGATTTATACTCTTTCAGAGGAAGGCATTTATCAGGTTACTCAAAAGCACCACCTCCAATCCAAAAAAGGCTATAAACGTAAAGTATCTTTTCAAAAAAAAAAAAAAGAAAAGAAAACAGTCACAAACACAATGCTTATCTCGATTTCTCTTTTGATGATTCATTTGTTTGTTTGTTTATTTGCTAGGCTTTGTTATAATTGGTATGGAAAACTTAAGGACTGGTGGTTATCATTCATCAACTGGGAGGGGGGTCGGAGGAGTTTAGTTGTCCCACCATATGATTTTTTCCCACCGTAACGCATGGTCATAATCGAATGACTCCTTCCCCCTTTTTTCCCCCCTCCCCCTCCTCACTAAAATTAAGTCAACAGTCAGTTTTCTAATAGTCTCCTCTTTATATTTTTTTCGCGACGACTGATCCCCTTCCGTTCCCCTTGATAACCCTCTGTTCTCCCAATGGTAAAAATTTCTAAATGTCTGGATACCACAGCATAGTTTTAATGGTAAAAAAATATCTATAGTTTTGTTTTCGTTTTTCCTTTACGTTTCGTATTTATGTTTCACAGTTTGTTTTCCTTGACTTTTTTTTTTTTTCATGTAGCTATTTTTTTTCATGTTTTTTGTTATTCTTTTTTTTTGTTTTCTTTTGTTTGTTTATGAGTGTGTGGGTGTGTATGTGTGTGTGTGTGTTTGTGTGTGTGTGTGTGTGTGCGTATGTGTGTGTGCGTGCGTGCGCGTGCTGGAGGTAGTTCCTCATATGCTTCATTTTGCCTTTTTTATCTAGTCTGCTAAGAAAATATTAAAAGCTGCAAACAAAATAATCTGGTGCAGCGATGAACAGAGGCCTGTTGAAGAAGATGAAAGAGGAGAAGATACTATTTACACCACATTTGCCTTAGAGGAGTTTATTGTCAGCTTGGCCGAAAGGCAACCAAATTCCACGAATCGCAACATTATTGATTCCAGCAAAGATCTGAGTAAGTTAATAAGGGTTTGAGTTTACTCTGCCTAAATTTAAGTAATTACTCTGTGGCGAGAACCAGAGAAAAAATGTTGAGAGAGAGGAAAACAAAACAGAGGAGAAGGGGATGATTCATTTTCCAGGTTTTTTGTTAACAGAATGCAATTTGGTTTAATTTTCATCTTTAATTATTTTATATCCTATCCATCAAAAGCAAGGACGAAAACAGAACGAAAACATAGAAAAAGGTTTAAACAGATTAGCTTATCATATCTCTTGTTTAAAAGATGAGGTCGTTTCCTACACGGAAAATACGGTTACTGGAGTAAATGATATCCAGACTAGAATTTTGTATTTTTTTAATCGATACTCAATTGCATCCTCTGACTCCGCACTTTACCGACATTGCAGAAGAAAAAGATATTCGTATCGATGTTTCATTGGCTCCTATCAATTACACTATTTATAATATCATTGTTATCTTTCGTATTATTCTCAAAAACAACATTATTTGCTATTATTGTTAATATCATTATTACTCAAGCGTTTCGAGTCACACACAGCGTCCACAGAAAGGAAGTGATTTTCTGCTCAATGGAAGCAACGGGGAAAACTTTATCAAGATTCCGGCAACTAATCTACATCCGAATGGTTGGCAAATTTTATCTCTAAATGTATTATACCTCATTATTTATCGCATAATCGGTCGGTGACCAATTGCATTTTCCTTTATTTATTTGGTTTCCTAAAGTTTTACAACGACGAAAATCGGGCTCCCGTTACATGACTTTTACCGACTTTCTTCACCGTACATGGCCTGCTGGCCTTGCTGCACTAAATTTTCTCATGGTCATTGATTCTCTCTTTTTTTTTTTTTTTTTTTTTTTTTTTTTTATTTATTTTCTATAGCAGAAAAATTCTCGACAATTCTTATTTCCTGAGATTTAGGACAACAAAATAACTCAGGTCTCCTCTCTTTGATCTTCAAAACAGGATCGGTAGTACTTGGCGTGGCCTACAACAACAGCCTAAACGAATTTATATCATACTACTCAGCTAACTCTGTGAAAACTAACACAACAAGGTTCGTAGATCTGAAGTTCTAAACTCTAGATAGAAAGGTTCTTTAGCTGTGTAGTGATCAGTTAGTTTGGTTTATTTCAGGATACTGGACAGCATAATTCTATCCGCCGTAATAGACCCTCTGCCAGAAGTGTTGCAAGAGAACATAACTTTGCTTTTCAAGAACATGAAGGCATCTACACCAGCCTCCTCATTGATTGTTGATTATTTCTATTTTGTGTTTCTCTTTGTTTATTTAATTCTTGTTTGGTTGTCTGTTTGTTTATGGCCTTTTCTTTTAATGGGAACATCATCAGCACCTTTACATGTACGGTAGCTAGAAATGTTAAGTCATCCAATTTCCTTGGAAACTAGTAAGAAAGAAACATCCTTAACCAGGACACGACCAGCAAGTCATCATAGCAGTTCATTAGCCTCGACTCCAGTTTTCACATCTCTCTACCTTAAAGGATCACAAAAGATAGATTTTTAAACACCCGCGGCTTTCCTTTCTAATTAATAATAAGGAGGCCCCTCTAAACTTTCGATGTGAGAGATGGAAGGTGTTTTCTAATAGTAATGCTTTGCATGAGTACTAAGGCAATCGTTCTGCTTTATTGACTTTATTCCTTTGCAATCCTTATAGGCTGTCCGAAAGAATAGAACATGTGTATTCTGGAGCTTTTCGGAAGACCAGTAAGGGCAAGATTTGCAACATGTCAGCCTTTAGGAGTATTCTATGTTTGCTCGCTTTGTTTTGATATTTTTTGTTCTGTTTTTAAGCTATCTACATAAATTTTAGAGCAGTCTTGTTGACAAACTGAGTTGTTTTTGGATCAGAGAGAGTGGAGATGGAGGTTAAATGAAAAAACTTTTACTATCATCACCATCATCATTATTGTCACTATCATTATTCTTTTCAATACTATTAATATTCTTATGATTGTTTCATTCATTCCCCTTTTACAGCTTTGGGAGTTGGTCAAGCGAGGGATGTCAAACAAGAATAAGATCCGATAGCCAAACAGAATGCGTTTGCAATCACTTGACCCACTTTGCTGTGCTCATGGATTTTACCGACGATGGTGGTGACGTGAAGGTGATTTTTTTTCCAAAACAATTCAATCATATGAATCTAAAGAGACACATGGCGTCACGACAGGTTTCGTATCTGTATGAATTTATCGTGATAGACAACATTTTCTTTGATCCCAATTAAGTAATTATAACCTTTTTAGGTTTTCAACCAGGATAAAACTCGTTTGTCAGATGAACATGACAAAATACTCACAATCCTCACTCGAGTAGGAATGGCTTTATCTCTCATTGGAGTCGTACTCACAATTATCAGCTATCTTCAGCTCACGTAAGTATATTCAATAATCCCTAATATCTAACTGAACGCATGAATTCTTGGGGATTAACTCTGTTTTATAAATTCACAGATTAGTTCTAGGGTCAGAAAAGACTTCTTGAATCTCGCCAAGGAGTTAGAATATATAGCTTCAAATAAATTGTTAGTGGAAGATAAGAATCTTTAGTAATATTCTTGTATCCATTCGTTATTTAATTAATGTATTGTGTCAACTTGTTTATCCCGTCATTTGCTTGAGTAATTTTAATTGTATTTCTGATCATTTCTTCGCAGTTCATTGACCTAAGTTCTGTATTCCTCTTGTATTCGTCTTTACTGTCTATTGACTTGTTTGTATTTAACCTATTCTCCACTCTGCAGAGACAGAGATTCACCTTTGTGTCACATACGGGTTAGTCTGACTTACTGCATTGGAGCAGGACATATCATCTTTTTCGCTGGAATAGATGCCACGGAAAACAAGGTGACCTAT